ACCCCGCCATAATTGTCGCCTTAATAGAGTTAAAAAAATAAAGGAAAAAGTTCAAATGATGAAGACATCTGTAAAATAAAATTGATGAAATGAAGAAATGAATGAGAAAGAATGACACATTTCAAGAACAGAAATAGGCAAAAATGAACCAATGTATAGCAAATGTATGACATTAAAAAAAAAAAAAAAAACAAAAAAAAAAAAACAAATAATAATAATAATAAAGAACAAAGAAAAGGATTAAATAAAAATATGGCAAAACTTCTAAACTGAAATAAAAAAAAAGTAACTTTGATAGATGAATGATATACAGGAGGTTTAGTAATTTTGTACTACCTTGGCCAGAGAGAGAGGGAGAGAGAGAGAAGAGCAAATAAAAGTAAGGTGAGAGGAAATAAGAGCAAAGAAAAGTAAGGAGAGAGAAAGAGAGAGGAAATAAGAGCAAAGAAAAGTAAGGAGAGAGAAAGAGAGAGGAAATAAGAGCACAGGGGGACAGAGAGAGAGAGAGGAAATAAGAGCACAGGGGACAGAGAGAGAGAGGAAATAAGAGAGGGGGACAGAGAGACAGGGGGAGAGAGAGAGAGGGAGGAAATAAGAGCACAGGGGAGAGAGAGAGAGAGGAAATAAGAGCACAGGGGGACAGAGAGAGAGGAAATAAGAGCACAGGGGGACAGAGAGAGAGAGAAAGAGAGAGGAAATAAGAGCACAGGGGACAGAGAGAGAGAGAGAGAGAGAGAGAGAGAAAGAGAGACAGGGGACAGAGAGAGAGAGAGAGGGGAGAGAGAAAAATAAGAGCACAGGGGGGACAGAGAGAGAGGAAATAAGAGCACAGGGGGGGAGGAGAGAGGAAATAAGAGCACAGGGGGGAGAGAGAGATAAGAGCACAGGAGGGGGGAGGAGGAAAATAAGAGCACAGGGGGGGGGAGGAGAGGATATAAAGAGCACAGGGGGGGGGAGGAGAGGAATAAGAGCAGGGGGGGGGGAGGAGATAAGAGCAGAGCACAGGGGGAGGAGGAGATAAGAGCACAGGGGGGAGAGAGAGGGACAGGGGGCAGAGGAGGGGAGGGGGAGAGATAAGAGCACAGGGGGGAGAGATAAGAGCACAGGGGGGAGAGATAAGAGCACAGGGGGAGAGATAAGAGCACAGGGGGGGGGAGGGGAGAGAGCACAGGGGGGAGAGATAAGAGCACAGGGGGGAGAGATAAGAGCACAGGGGGGAGAGATAAGAGCACAGGGGGGAGAGATAAGAGCACAGGGGGGAGAGATAAGAGCACAGGGGGGAGAGATAAGAGCACAGGGGGGAGAGAGAGAGGAGAGAATACAAAGATATCTGTCTATGTCTCAATTATTGTCATATAAAAAAAAAACAAATAAAAAAAAACAAAAAAATTTTTTGTTTCTGTTTTTTAACAAAGTTAATGTATCTACATTAAACAAAAATCCATGTGTATGTGTATGTGTGTGTATAAACATATGGTGTATTGTTTCTGTTCTCTTGGCCACACAGTGTTGAAAACAGTCAGAATTCAGCATTCTAAATCCGGAGGGAATGAAGAACAGAATCATGGCCAGACAGTGCTTCAGGAGAGCATACCTCCCCACTGAACGAGATATTGGACTTTGCCTTCTGGGATATGGCGACGTGCCAGCACATGAAATGTCTCCCGTTTTGAAAGTCTGTTAACCATGTTGATATAATCACTGTCTGAGGACTTGAGCTGTTTGAGACAGTCTGCTGTGGATGGGTCAGTGTTGGACAGTGGAGTGTCCGTGTCCATTTTGTTATTAACTGTATCTGGTTCTGTTGTTGCTGGTGCTGGAGGCTCGAGTTTGACACTGCCTGCTTTCCTCCGCCCCTTCTGCTTTTGTGGAGGTTTTGGTTGTGGTTGTGGTTTGAGGGCTTTGATTTCATTGGTCAAGTGTTTGGCTGGATCAAAGCCGTTTTGGTACAAGGTCAAAATTTTTTCCTTCAGTTTTTTCTTTTCCAGTTCCATTTTTTGTTCAAGGTCAGTTTTAAAGGGATGGTTGAGCCCCTCAAAGCTGGGGAGAGGAGGGATAATTGAATCGAGGGTACAATGGGTAACGGCTTTTCTTTGACTGTAGTTACTTTTAGTTCCATTCACAGCTGGCTGGCAAAGAAAATAGAGATGATACGGTAACATTAGACAAGACGCAGAAATAAAACAAATTCAGGGGAGGAGGTATAAAATTACACAAGAGCATACAAATGGTAATTACATTACAAGTATGCTTGTTCTTACTAACACTATAATAGCTTACCTGTCACTTGCCCAGGTATTCTTGGGCTTACAGCCATATCATGCTGAAACATTGGTTCCCATATGATCACCAAAGTTAAGCAATGTCAAGCCTGGTCAGTACCTAGATAACTGACCACTTGGGAATGCCAGGTGCAGTAAGTTTGGATGTGTGGGTTGTGTAATGGATTAATTGGATTACCAAGTTCCAATTCCCATTAGGTTCATTATATTCACTTATGCAAAAATACCCTTAGGTATGAATCCAACTCTTCTCCAACCAGCTATGGAAGGCCTCTGATTGGGAGGTTTTGAGGAATGTGGAACCACCTCTTAATTGCTGATGTTCCCTGACCTGGGGTGGTAGTACCTGTTTGAGTCCCAGCTATGGGCAAATAGTTGACACCCAAATTGGTGTCAAAACACTATGAAAGTGTAAAAATAGGTTTTAATACATACCAGAAACAGTAATAATAATAAAAAAAAAAAAATAAATAAATTATTACCAGCAATACATTTTTAGGAAAAAAAGATATTACCAACTATAGTTTATTTTGAAAGAAAATATTACCAGCAATAAAAAATTTGTCGGCATGAAATAACCCATTGAAGTTGATATGCTGTAAAACAAGCCAAACCAAACCATTAATTAATTGATTAGTGTTAGGACAGATGTCATAACACTGGAGCTAACTCCCTCCCTCGATGGGAACCAAGTTATACATCATGATCAGAACGCTCTCTAAGAGGGAATAAAAAAAGGGATTTCAAGATGGCAGTCATGCTTTTTTCATGTTCCCTCATGTCAAAATCTACCAGTAATCCATTGGTCATCATTTACATCTATCATTATCAATTAGTGAATAAAATGTGCAAGTTGTGGGCTTCTTATTTGACACAAATAAGCTTTTACTCAGTATAACAATTTATCAGACATGTATCATTAAAACCATTATTATCTCAAAAAATAAAATAAAAATAACTGCGTACAAAATATTTACATTTTGGCATTAAATAACCCATAGAGGTTGATATACTGCTAAACAAAACCAACAAACAAATTCTTGGTATAGCAGATACTGAAGTTTTGTGGTGATTACCTTCCCATTCAACAGTAGGCAGGATCATCGAGTTGATGTGAATAATCCTTTCCTTAGCTGCATAGTTTTCAATTCAGACTTTTCTTTCTCTTAGACCAGTTGCCACCCAAGGCTATAAAACTCAGTCTGTCCTATTTACCCATAGTAGTGGGGGAGAAGAGATTGATTCATACCTTTTCCAAGGGTTTTAGCGTGTAAGTGAATGTAATAAATTCAAGTGGAATTCAAACTCTTAGGTCCCACAATCCAAGCTGCAATTCATTATTATACTGTGCCATTACTTATTTCATTTTGATTGCAAAGAAATGTGGAATCAGAGTTACTGTTTGGTTTTTTGTGGGACAGAAAAAAAAAACAAAACAAAAAAAACAAAAACAAATGTGTCTTTGAGGACATCTGTGTATAAATTTTCTGGGTATTATGAACCTAGGTTTATAATACCCAGAAAATTCATGGCACAGTGGATAAAGGCGTTAGTTAGATCCAGTGACAGGACCCAAAGAGTGTGAGTTCAATACCTGGTTAAGGCAGTGGAGAAATTAACAGGAGATAACTGATAACTGACATCCATTAAACATGGCATGTGGAACTAGATCAGTCTACCCCAGTGAGCGAAATAAAGGGTTCAGTTCGACATTCCAACCACCTGAAGAAGGTTGGAGCGTACAATGTCCGAATAATGTAAAAAATGAATTATTTTTAATATGTGGAAATCTCTACGCTTTGCCTGATGACGGTCACAAGACTGAAACCCGTGTAGCAAAATGCCCACCGTCCCTGATGATCGAAACAGGTTAGCAACTTCAAACAAATAATCTCCATCAACAACTACAAAGGAAGTCAGTGAATAAACCGGTTTTTTTTCTGTGAACCAAAGACTAATTCAGCTAAAGACTATTTTTATTCCTTTTTGGATTCATCTCCATATTTTTGTAAATACAAATGATTTATTTAATAGTCATACTAGTTTTCTTTATTTTTATTGTTTGGAATTTGGATGTTCATATTTTTAATATAAAAAATTCAGATGACAGAATTTCCTACAAGGATGAAAAATCTAAGACAGGATTTTTACTATTATGTCACTCAATTACCAACCATATACAATTTTTTTAAAACATGAACTACACAACAATATTGCTTATTATAAAAAACAATAAGAATAAGTGCTACAAGTGGGTGCAAAAAGTTTGTGGAAGGCTGCTTGGTTAGAGTGAATGTTTTTCAGCACCCCAAATGCTCCTTCTTTTAATTGTGTGAATATTGATGGTCTAGCAGTAGAAGCTGAAACTTCCTGACAACAATTTTCTTTTTTTTTGCCTTGCCGCAAATAGGTGTTAAGCAGAAGTCAGGCAAAATGGCATCCGACATGAAAGTGCATACAAAGCAAATGTTTGTTGTTATTGAAATCATCCACGAAGAAAAAAACAGGAAAGGCACCCACTGAGTCATCGATGAAACCTGACAATGGAAGTCAAAAATAGTCAAGTAGTGGGTCATGCATTTCAGCAGAGGTAACAGCAATGTGTATGCCTAACAAACCAAATTCCAGGTGGCAATGGACAGCTGTTAACCCATGAAACAAATAATGCCTTAGAAATATCAATGCCAATGGTAGTATTAATGTAAAAGAAATAGTATTTTGCAGCTGAAAACTTCATCTATCCAGTGATGTTGCGATTTGTATAAAAACAACAATAAATATAGAAATCACAATAATAATTTGCCACTGACATGAAATAGAAAAATGATATTTTGAATCAATTGTTAAGTCTGCTGCTAGGTTTGCTTGCTAGAATCTATCTTACATATTTATAAGTCTACCATTCATCCATGAATTGAATATTCATGTCCTATCTAGTCTGGTGCTTCTGCTATGCATTTAGAAACTCTCTATGAAAAAGAATCTGCAATGTTATTGGTCCTGACCTGGCATCTTGGTTTCAGTCACTTTCCCCACTGCCAAGAAGTCAGAAAATATTTTTAGATTGTAAGAATTTTTTTTATTTTTTATTTTTTTGAGATAATGATTTAGTGATACAAGTCTTACTATTTAACCCATAGCTGGGGGAGAAAGTAGATTCATACCTTTCCTGACAGTATTTGTGTGAAAGTGAATGTAATGAATATTTGCACATAAGGGAATAATTGGAGCTCGGCTCTTAGATTTCCAATTCTGAGTCATTATACCATTACACCATCTGCACATTCAAGCTTACAGCACCTGGTATTCCCAAGTGGTCACCCATCTAGTTAGTGACTAGGTTCAACATTGCTTAACTTTGTTGATCATACAAGAACCAGTGTATCAACATAATATGGCCATAAGCTTTAAGTGTTGAAATATTAAGCATTTTCTACTGAAATAATTATACCAATATTACATGTCAAAATGATTTTAACAAATGCTGTATGCTTTAATCCAATATCATTTGTAATGATGAAAGTATCAATCTTTAATTTAAAACAACAAGTTAAAACAATGTTCTTACCTTTTTACTTTTGAGTAGAAGGGATTCTTCAATATCTAAAGAAGCAGCTTTTCTCTTTAACCTGATAGGAGATTGGCTGTAAGCAACAGAGTCAATATATCAATAACTTACAAAGCACACATAATTACATTCAAGTAAATAGATTTTTTTATTGCATGGTCTTCAGCTGATTATGGTTTAAATAATTTTTTTTTTTTAAAAACTGAAGGCAATTAAAATTTTTTTAATTATGGATCAAGAAAATATGATTTTATGAAATAACTGATGAAAATATACATATGTCTGATGATTGCAACTTCATGACAGAAGAGATACCAAAGTTTTGTGTCACTTCAAAAAGTCTAAAGACCCAAGAGCCCTGAGGGTTAATCAAAGTGACCTGAAAGCCACCAAGTGCAAAATTGGGCTTCAAAGGATGTTGGTGGGTAGATCAACATAAACCCAACAAGTTATATAAACACCCAACCTATGAGGAGAGGAGAATCCTTACAAAAAGATTGAATGTTTAAAGAAAGACCTTAAACCACATACACCTGATTTAGCTGACATTAATTTTACAGAAATGAGTAAACAATTATTTTATGGATGAAGAACTTAACATATTTTTCTTATTAGATACCACTAACATTTGCTTTGGTCTAAAATTTTATCAAAAATGTTTTCATTGACCATTCACTTGTGTATATAATTAGACTATCACTAGATGCTGTAATGCTGATGCTTCGAGGCAGAGTAGAATGGATTGACCAAAATGCTTGTCTTATTAAGCAAAAACAAGAAACAAGCACCCACCCTTCAACATTGAACAACTTCTGTTGCACTAACGTAAGCACAATTTCAAACATGATAGTTGTAAATAAAAGTATTATATACAAGTGCAGATAACTCTTTAAAAAGTTAGGGATGAATTTCACATTGTATTGATATAATGAACAGGATCCCATTTCTAAAATAAAAAAAATGGATATTTTGGAATTCTGAGAAATGTGGTGGATTAGGGAATGTCTAATGAATTGTTAACTACAAAAATTATTCCCTCCAAATTTCTGTCCAACACAGGTTGCCAAGTCAGTTTAACATTTACCCTGCTAATTTCTTTCTAGAATTGTTCACCCTGCTGTTGCATTTTTTGAGGGTGCAAAATACATGAACACCTACTATTTTAAAATTGTTATAACTTTCTTTGCATTGTGCGTATAGATTTTAATTTTTGTACAATAATAAAAGAATAAATGAGTAATATTTTGATGTACTGCATTATGTTTCGCATGCATGTTTTGATGTTGAAAAAAAAAAAAAAAAAAAAAAAATTTAAACGTGAAATAAAAACAAATATATAAATAATTCAACGTGTTTTAACTTTTATTACTCCTTGTAGTTTTGGAGTGCAATAAGAAGCAAAATTGCTAAGGCTTTCATTTCATTAAAAACGTGACGCGTTTCCTTGTGTTTATATACGAGAAGACACTAGCATTTGTTTACCATTTCTTTCACCCGACTCATTTGTCTCATTGACAAATAAAGTTATTTTTTTGTTTATAAACAAACAAAATAATTCACCTTCAGAAAGGCTATCAGGTATATCAATGGTCGCCAGTAGCTTCCATAAAATTAGTCCGGCTTGGATGATAGTAGCCACTAGTGGTCATCATCGCTTTCCTCCATGTCACTAACAGGGTTATTATCTTCCACCACTTCACTGTCAATATCTACTCAAGTAAAGCCCTTAAAATCATCATCGGTGTCCTAATTAAAGAAAAACTACTGAATAAAGGCTTTGTTGTATATTGATGCGGCCATTTTTGTTTACAAAATAAAGAAAAAAATTAATGTGGGTTTAATTCATGTTACACTTCATAAAGAGTCTAGAAGAATTCAAAATGGTGTTGGAAAATGGAAGATTAGCCTTGTTCCAAAGCAGTAGTATGCGATTTCCAGTTTAATTTAGCAAAAATAACAGTTGACAAGTGTTTATTTATAACAACCATCTCAAGATGACAGAATGAGCCTAGAGTAGCAAAGAGAGAGAATGCTATGGTGACAATTGTTACCTGCAGCATGGTAAAGGTTAAGTAGTACCTGAAGTTACTTAAAACTAAAAGACCCCTCAATGTCAATGGCCTCTAGTGACAAAAACAAAAACTTTTTGGTCAAGCCATTATCTAATAAGCAGATGCTATGATTGAAGATACTGAAATCAAACAGGTGCAACAATTTACATATCTGGGAAGTCTATTAACAGAGAATGGAAAGTGTGACACAGAAATATGAAGGCACATTGGGATAGCAAAAGATGTCTCCCAAAAACTGAGCAAAGTATTAAGAAACAGAAAAGTATTGTTAGAAACAAAGAAAAAAAAGTACTGAACTGTTACATAATATCAGTCCTCCTTTATAGCAGTGAATACTGGACAATATCTTCACAGATAAAGAGACTTGAAGAAACAGAAATGTAGTTCTACAAAAAATTGCCAAGAACAACATGGACTGAATATATGAGCAACAACAAAGTTCTAGCAACAAAAAAGACACTTACACTTAACATCAGGAAGAGACAGTTGAAATTTCTGGGGTACATAATGAAGAAAGAGGGATTGGAAAATTTGATACTCACAGGAGAGATTGAAGGTAAGAGGGCTAGAGGAAACCTACCTGATGAGCTTGAGAAAATTTAAAGGGGTTTATTTTCCATGAAAATGGAAAAACAGAATGGTATACTTGAAACAGAAATCACAATTTTGAAATGGAAATTTGTTTTCTAACAATCAGATTTGCAAACTATTTTTATTTGTCTTTAACTCACCTGTACCTAACAGACATCAAAGGTTAAAGTTGTTAATGTTTTAATACATCACCATTACTTACTGTCTCCTTAAAGTTTACATTATTTAGGAACAAAGTTTTAAGAAGTTTGGCTTGATTTAATAATAATAAAACAATGGTGGTAGTAGTGGGGGCAGAGGGCACAAAAAATTTGTCTTTTCGTTTTATCCTTTCTTTTTCCTATCCTCACATGGTGATGAAGGTGGTGGTGGTGGGCAGTTTGTCATTTCAGAAATCCAAATTTTATGAATTACACTTTTTTTTTTTTTTTTTTTTTTAAATGTTATTTAATAATTTTATTAAAGTGATCAAACAATAATGTAGCTTTTTGTCTCCCACAAGACTTTGTGGTGCTACTTTTCTGTAGGTTTTGCCACTTTCACTTAATTCTTAGTTAGGATTTTAGAATTCTTTGTAAGGGTTTATGTAGATAAATCTTTTCCAATCAAAAATTCAAAAGAAGAAAAAAAACAAACAAGAAATAATTTTTCAACAAAGGTAGCCCAAGAACAACAACAAAAACTGAAGTTGACAAAATAAAAGAAATAACTGATTAAAAAAAAATAAAGAAACAAAAATACTGAACTTACCATTCCACAGGAACAAAAGTTTTGATTTTGCGTCCTTTCATCTGCAAATTACTCATCACTTCATCTGTGATTTGGCCTTCAATTGGGAGATCAATAGTGGGAGGAGAAGGTGGCAAGCGTAGACGTAAACCCCAGAGGCTACGACTCTTCTTGATTTCACGCCCACACTGAAATCTAACCAATAAAATGAGATCAGATCAAAAACTAATATGTAGGAAGCATAACATTGAAAGCCTCCTGTTTGGATAAAACCTAGTTCCAACAGACCTTTTGTCCTGAATATTCCAGAGTAAACAATTTATATGCTATAGCATATATAGAAAATTATTTCATATATTTTGGACATTATGAATTTTGGCTATTTTATAACCAATATTATTATTCAAATATGACTTTAATGTTTTCGTTAAAAGGTTTGCTGTTATTCAATTACCAATACTGTATTGTTTACAAAATATTAAAGAAATGTCAGAGATGAATGTATGTTTTTTTAGTAGAACAGTAACACCTTTCCACCACCGACACATTTATTTTATTTATTGCTATGGACGAAATATAAACTAAACAGAAGGATAATATTGTAATTCATTGAGTGAAGAGAAAAATAAATTGAACCCACTAATTCTTGCTCAAGGTTTAGAGATCAAACAGTGGATGTGAGCACAGTTTGGCAGTGAATCATTCCTTTCAGCAATGGTAATCGCAAGGTGTGAAAAGAAGGCGTGTCTCAATCAGTTCAGAGGAGCTGCCAACCCACAAAATGAAGAAAGTAATGAAAATACATAATAATTATGACTATATGGAAAAATAAGGGTTTGCAGCAGAAAAATTCTTCTATTTAATAGTGTTAGTGTGCTCTCTGTATCTGTTGTAGTTCTTTTGATATGATTCTGAAAAACTGGTTTCTTAGCCATGAAAAATACAAAAATACAATGGCGATCCATTGCCAGTGGCACTGAATTTGAACGAAGATTGGACAATAAGGAAGTGAACTCAGCTTTCACATTCAAAAAAATTTTTTTTAATCTACTTTACAAACTTATTTGTTGCCTTATTACACATTTGCATATGCTTTTAATGCGATATGAAACTTGTCACCTTATTACACATTTGCATATGCTTTTAATGCGATATGAAACTTGTCACCTTATTACACATTTGCATATGCTTTTTATATGCGATATGAAACATATGCTTTTGCGATATGAAACCTTATTACACATTTGCATATGCTTTAATGCGATATGAAACTTGTCACCTTATTACACATTTGCATATGCTTTTAATGCGATATGAAACTTGTCACCTTATTACACATTTGCATATGCTTTTAATGCGATATGAAACTTGTCACCTTATTACACATTTGCATATGCTTTTAATGCGATATGAAACTTGTCACCTTATTACACATTTGCATATACACATATGAAACTTGCATTTATTTTTGCATATGCGATATGAAACTTGTCACCTTATTACACATTTGCATATGCTTTTAATGCGATATGAAACTTGTCACTGCATATCATGAAACTTTCATTACACATTTGCATATGCTTTTAACGCGATATGAAACTTGTCACCTTATTACACATTTGAAGGTTGCTTTTAACATTTGCGATATGAAACTTGTCACCTTATTACACATTTGCATATGCTTTTAACGCGATATGAAGGTTGTCACCTTATTACACATTTGCATATGCTTTTAACGCGATATGAAACTTGTCACCTTATTACACATTTGCATATGCTTTTAACGCGATATGAAACTTGTCACCTTATTACACATTTGCATATGCTTTTTAATAAATTTGAAACTTGTCACGCTTATTACACATTTGCATATGCTTTAACGCGATATGAAACTTGTCACCTTATTACACATTTGCATATGCTTTTAATGCGATATGAAGGTTGTCACCTTATTATTTATTTGCATATGCTTTTAATGCGATATGAAGGTTGTCACCTTATTATTTATTTGCATATGCTTTTAATGCGATATGAAGGTTGTCACCTTATTACTTTGCAGTATTGTTTACAAAAATATAAATGAAAAATGATTTGTGTATTTTTAATTCATTTTTATATTTTTATGATACAGATTAATATTTCTGCAATAAATTGCTATAAGTTGTTTTCAAGTAAATTCACTTTCCAATCCTATTACAGATGCCTGCTCAACCCACAGAGTCCACTAGTGGTTTATACTGCAACTATGCTGAGCCAAATTTAGTTACAGTTTCTGGGAGGGTTTGACTAATCTGATATAAACAATTTTTTTTAACAAGGCCAGTACACTCATCTCGTAACTTTGTGTTAGCACAACTGACAGTTTCTGAACAATTTCATCTGCCCAATTTAATTCACAAAGACAACCTGTGGCATGGTTTCCAGGCACTTTCCAAATGTGGATTATCTTCCCAGGTTGATAACATCAACAATTGACTACCGTGACAAATAAGCTGTGGTGAGATTCAAACCAAGATCTCATGTTTGGAAAGCAAACATTCTGTTAACTATGCTGACTCTTGTGATCCTACCTAGGATTGAACTCATCATCCTTGACTAACAAATTTCTGAAGATATTAAACTCCCACTCCTTAGCTTAATGGATGTGTTCTAAGCAGTGGCAGCAGCTTGTCTCCCTTCCTGACAAAGTGGATTTAACCTTTAGTTTACTGAAATTTTTCTATTTGGTGAAGTTCTTTTACTCACTTTCTTGATCAAAATCCTGTCTTGACACTAACCATTCAACCATGTCGCCATAAAATATTACTACAAATATTATTAACTTACTAGCCATGTGCAAATAATAATTTGGTAAAAATACATTACTGGTTTTGATACATTGAGGAGTTAAAAAGAAATAATTATTCTGTGGAAAGTTTTATTTTGATGCCAAGATGCTTCGTTAAAGAATTATTAATTTTATCAGATTCGTCTTAAACTATTCCACATGAAGACATAAAAAATACTTCAGTCAGCTCACCGTTTTTTATGACTTCTCAGAGTTTCCAGAACTTTCTCTTTTACTTCATTCCGTAGATGTGTTTCCAAATGCTATGAAAAGAAATAAAATATATGTATATATGTGCATGCCTGTGTGTGAAGAGTTTATGTCTGCAATTTTAATATGCATACTTAGTGAAACCAAGGAAAGGTTTTAAAGTGCTTATCTGCTAATTTGTTTTTTTTTTGTTATGCAGAAATATTTTATATTTTTAATAGTAATAATTACCATTTGCAACCACACCATGTAAGATTATAATTTCCACCAAGCTATATATTTACTCCTCTTCAAAGCAAAGTAGAAAGCATTCATTTGAAACTTACCTGGAACTAATATGATTTATTGTTTTTCTGCTATTTATTGCTTTTATAAAGTTACTATACTTGACTAGAGCTACTGAAAATGAGCATAAAAATAATGAAGTTACTAATTTTTAACTGATAATAATTGTAAAATATACATTTCTTAGTTATGCATTTCATTTCTTTTATGTTGACATAAGAAGTTATGGCGATTGAATATACAACATATCAACTTTTTTTTCTTTTTTAAATAAAAAAATCATTTAACTTTCACCTCAAGCAAGGCAATAAAGCCACTAAGATGCAAGGGGTTTCTAAAAGTGAAGGAAACTGAGAAAACATTGTTCAGATTATAAAGGACAGAAAATGATGACTGACAATGCATTTAAATTTTTAAAGATCATAGTTGACAGGAAAGAAGAAAACCAGAAGAGAATTCCACAAACAAGAAGTGTGAGAAAAGAAACTATTAAAATAGAACTTCAGGGTACATCTAGTAATTTCAACAGTAAAATGAAGAGACCTACCTGCTGATCTAGTACAGTGTAACCCGGATATAAGAGAAACCCGGATATAAGAGAGATTTTCTCTGGTCCCAAATTAGAGCCTGTGTTAATGTATATAAAATAGACCAAACCCAGATATAAGAGACTTCTTCTCCGGTCCCGACAACTCTCTCATATCCGGGTTACACTGTACTGTGATTAAATTCATGAAAGAAATAATTTAATCACAGAACTACAATATTAGCAACATGAGTTATCATGGTGAAAGAGATCATACCAAGAGCAGACTCCACAAGCCATTAAAAAAAAAAAAAAAAAAAAAAAAAAAACAAAAAACATGTTTGCACCTACTATATTCTTCATTGTGGTTTCATTTTGCACTTTTTTCCAAATTAAAAATGAAGAAAATAAAGTCAAATGTGCATTTGACTTTATGCCACAATTTTAACTTAAATATGAAAAAAAAAAAAAAAAAAAAAAAAAAAATTTTCCCCACCAACAATTTTTAATGACATTAAAATTTTTCTACCATTGTGTAAAAGATAATACTGATAAGTTTTGTATCAACAAAAGAGAAGCAACATACAAAATGTTTAAAAAAAATAGAATGTGATGTAACTTTATCCCAGATCAGCCCTTCATATTGTTTTCAAGAAAACCCTTAAAAGATTTGTGTGGGTGTGTGTGACTTATGGTTATTTAAAAGAAAAAGTTTTTGAGAGGTGGCAGGTTGTACGATATTGTTAACATTATTTATCATAGGCATAGAGAGCATACTAAGAGCAAATTCTCTAAACAGTTCCAAACACATGCTTGCATCTACTGAATCCTTTATTGTTGTGCCTGCTTTTGCACTTTTCCCCAAATTAAAAATGAAGAATAAACAGTGATAAATGTGCATTTGACTTTCAGTCATGGTTTTAATCTAATTAAAGAGAAACTAACATTTTCCCCTCACAAACAATGACATTAAGAAATTTTTTTTTTAACATTGTACATAAAGATAGTGCTGGTAAGTTTTACATCAACCAAAAGAGACATTAAAAATATTAATAAAAATAAAATAAAACGGATACAAAATATAATCTGATTAAATTCCGAACAGATTAGTACTTCATCCCGTTTTCATGGAAAGCAGTAAATGTTTATTTTGGGAGTTTTGTGTTGAGGCTATTGTTAAAAAAGGAAAAAAAAAAAAAATTACAGTAAATAACTTGAACTGGTAAAGGTTACAGGTTAGAGAAGTAGTAAGCTGTACAATGCTGTTGACATGATTTATCAGTCAGGAAAATTGTCCCAAGAGAATTCAGGAATAATGACTCAATAAAATATAAACAATGGATTGCATTATTGTTTTATCAGAGATTATAATTGCTGATAAATGATGTGTTAAAACTTACTCCTCCAAATCTAACCAAATATTAGAACGGTGATTTTTAGATTTTGTAGAGAAATATTTCTCCTCTACACTGGTTAAGAGGCCTCGACAAAAATCACAACTGGTTATAAAGACAGTAAAAGACAATTCCGTGAAGCTACGATGGTGAGCTAATAAAACATTGCCCAAATTAATGCATCCTGAAAATTGATTGATTTGATTTTTATGGTTTATCAACCTTCTGCAGGTTACTGAAAAACACAAAATCATAAGATTTTTTTTTTTTTTTTTTTTTAGAAACAAAGATTTTACAATACAGGTTTTACCAGTTATCACATAGCTAGGGGAGGAAGAGATGGCTTTATACCCCCACCCCCGATGGTATTTGTGTGCAAGTAAATATAACAAATTTGACTGGAATTTGAATTCAGCTCCCAGTTCCAATTCCAAGCTGTTATTCATTACACCACTCACATATTCAAGCTTACAGCACCTGATATTCCCATGTTGTTATCCATCTAGGTACTGACCAAGTTTGACATTGCTTAACTTCAGTGATAGTACAAGAACTGGTGTTTCAAAATGATATAGCCATAAGCCTATAGTCCTGGAAAGTCACCCACATAATTTCTTATACTGATGCGACACAAATGAAACTTAACCCAAAATGCCTGTTTTACAATTTTTGTTGCCAATTAAAAATTTGTTATTGTCATTATTCAATATCACCGGTTACAGATATGGATGGAGTTTTTGCTTAGTAGCTTAAAAGAAAAACAAATTCCATTTGTTCAATGAAGAAAAACTATGAAACATTTGGGAGAAAAGGCTTTTTCAAAGCCTCTTAATATTAAAATGGTTACAAATTATAATTATTACTATACAATAATAATGAGCAATATCTGTGAAAAATCTCATAGTTTTTCTATTTGAATTTTCTGATGAATCATAATTTTTAACTTAATGAGTGAATAAACTCTTTGCAATTTCTACAACTACAAAACAAACATGGAAATTTCCCAATTACACTATTAAATAGTCAAGCTTAGCAACCTTAACTAAATATTGCAATAACAATCTTAAGTATGAGTGCAAGCTGTTGTTTAAAGAAGTACGAGGGTACAAATGAAAGAGTCAAAACTGACAAAGTCTTCTTTTTTCACTGAAGCAGACATTAAAAGCATGAGCATTACTGAAACCAAGCAGCACCTCTGATATATCTTTTCCATCTTGTCTTGTAGTGAAAACAGAACAACTCAATGTTTAGGACTTATTGGTAGGGTGTAACATACATGCTAGCTAAGGAACAATCAGAATGATAAATAAGTACCGTATATACTCTCATATCATGTGATTTGAAATCTAATTTTAAAAGGTGTCATATCATACATGTGATATAAAATTAGCCTATGTACTGCTGGTCCTGGCTATGTCAGTGACCAAACTATATATCTACTTACTGTAGTCAAAATGTACAGCTGTATTCAAAATAAATAAAACTGATGATTAACTTTTCATAAAACTGTAATATGTATATATAATTATGTATTTTACTTAACTGTATCCAATAATAATGCATGTATTCATATATAATTATTATATTATAAAATACTAAAATTATAAAACACAATTTGGTGTGTCAAAAAAAAAGAAAAAAAAAAGAATATGCATCTTTTCCATTGTTTGCATTTATAAGATGTTTAGCTGTTTCTTGTTCAGTTGTTTACGGCTGTATGCATTTATGCAATGAGTATAGTATTACTAACAATACTTTTATCATTCTCTTTTACTTTTTTAAATTATTTAACTAAGAGATGGGATAAAGAAGTAAAGGAAAAGAGATGAGTATTGTAATTTGGTGTGTCAAAAAAAAAGAAAAAAAAAAGAAAAAAAAAAGGAACAGGCATGATACACAAGATACATAAAATTAATAGTTTATAAGTGAACATTTTAGGGGTCATGATATGTGCAATTGCATATTACATAATAATTAATATATAATTAATAACAACAATTATTACAAGTTAATAATAATTAATATATAATTAATAGTTAATAATAATTAATATATAATAGTTAATAATAATTAATATATAATTAATAGTTAATAATAATTAATATATAATTTCTGTATAACAAAAAGAGAATGCTCTTTCCAGAGTGAAATATTTTTTTTCCCATATAGGAACCTTCCAATGGGTTCACTAAAAATACATACTAAATTTGAGGGTTCTATATAAAACAGTTTCACTACACAGTGAACAGACAGAAAAACTAATTTTACAGACAGATTTTTGGATTTTGAAACATCAACTGCTGAATCAATTTGTGTACTGTTATTTGTACTTACAGCATCAAGTTGTAAGTTCTCTCTGTTCATATAAATCCAAGGCATGATGACTTTATCCAAATCATAGTATTTCTTTTGGTAGCTGATGCACAAATTAAACAAAGCCAACTGGGCAATGTCCACCCTGAAACAAAAGGAGACATAATATATATATATATATATATATATATATATATATATATATATATATATATATATATAAAAAAACAAAACAGTTTAAAACGGGATTCCTTTGCTCTATCAACAATTACAAAGACACTGCATGATATTCCTTCAAGTGGGAGACATTCCTTAGAAGCTGAGCATCCACCTCAAGTTACGGATAGTCTATCAATAATTTGACCAAACAAACATGGTTATACAACAAAATAGAGGAACAATAGAAAATTTGTTGTAATTCCATAAACCCCATTCCATATCCATTGGTTTCAAAATACATGTTGTTGTTTTCACAATTGCTTACTTTGCATTATAATGGTTTTAAAACAGACATTCATTTATTTTCACCCTCTATGTGTGTGTGTGTGGGGGGGGGGTTGTGTGCGCGCAGTTAATTTAAGATTTTATTAAACAAATGCATTAGAAATTATTTTAGTACTAGCTCTTTATGGAACCTGGAATATTATGGCTAGGATTTATGAAACAAATCCATCCAAACTTTCATTCCCTCTAATGATTCCATATCTAGTGATATAGCAAATACTAAAAACATCTATAGAAATTCATTGCAAATGATTTTACTATAGGAATGCATTAGAAATGATTTGAATACTAGCTCTTTATGGAACCTGGAATATTATGGTTAGGATTTATGAAAGAAATCCATCCAAACTTTCATTCCCTCTAATGATTCCATATCTAGTAATATAGCAAATACTAAAAACATCTATAGAAATTCATTGGAAATGACTTTACTATAGGAAAGCATTAGAAATTATTTCAATACTAGCATTTTATGGAACCTGGAATGTTATGGTGAGGATTTATTAAACAAAATTTTCATTCACTTACATAATTATATGTAAACTTACATAGCAAATACAATATTTATAGAAAGCAGATGGCAAAATTTTGTACATTTGGACATATACAGTTAAATATATCAATTTTATTCAATAAGGATATTTTCCCAACTAAAGAAATAACTTCAATGGTGCATTTATGTTTAAGTTGCTCGTAGAACTTGTAAAAGGCCTCACTTGATCAATGTTAATCATGGATTAAGAATGTTATTGAAAGGCTTATGAATGAATAAAAAGTATCATAACATTACTGCTTCAAATTCAAATTTGTAATTTATAGTTTCATTTTTTTTTTTGCGCAAGTTTTGGCAATAAGTTACAGATTGAAAATAAGAAATAGATTAATGCAATTGTATTATAAAGGATTTTGCTGAAAAGTATGCTGTAAATGATTTTAAGTATAGAAATACATTGAAAATAGGAAACACATTTGTTTATTTATTTATTTTTTTAATGAGGACTGTTATTACAGCAGATTGTTAGACAAATATATCAGACTACTCTCTCATCTGAATTCATATAAGATTGTAGTTTACAGAGTTCTTCATATGTTATTTCCACTCAGGATGTAGGCAATCATGGCTCAACACAATTTACTGTCCTTTATAGCTCTTAATAAATTTAGTCTTTTCATTATTTCTCCTAAACCCTGTTCTACCATCCATTTACACAAATTCATCAAAAATGTTATGTGCCGTTTTCCTCTGCCCTGAATCTGTCCTGTGAGTATCAGATTTTCCAAGCCCTCTTTCCTCATTATGTAGGTTATGTGGTGTTTTCCTCTGTCCTTGTCATATGAAGTGTATGGTGGCAGAACAAAGAGTAAACGGAGGTTTAAGAAATAAACAATTGTATTAATATAAAAATACAACAAATACTAAATTGGTGTAAGTGTCTCTTGTTGAAAGAAAGTGATAAGTAGAATTGTAAAAGTCATCCGCAGGGGTGTATGGTAGGAGAGGGAGGGTGAGTTGCAACTTACTGATGCACTGGCCTTTGGTGAATCATCTTTGGAGATGGGAGGTTGTGTTCTGAATAGTGTTGTGAATCCTGGCCGTTGTGTCATCTGACTGCTGAAGATGTCCCTTTGATGAGCTTTTATGTCCTTTTCTCAGATCAGCTCTGATTTTTATTTTGTTTCTTTAGGTAGGAGTGGGTGCTATTGGATGGAAATTCTGGAGTGTATTTTTCTCTGAGCAAGTAAAATGGAAGTTATGTGCAGAGCCGATGCGCAGTTGACAGAATTTTTAGTTCAGTCTTGGGTTTCAGAGTGTTCACATCTGGCCAGGGGTGGAAATTTGTGTAACATCAATCAAAGATCTGGTTTTAGGGAGATTATAACACCCTTAATCCATCCTGTGAGTATCAGATTTTCCAATCCCTCCCCAGATATTTCAACTCTCTTCCTGATATTATGCATGTGTCCTTTTTGTTGCTCACATGTTCAGTCCATGATATTCTCAGCATCCTTCTGCAGAAACACATATCTGTTGCTTCAAGGATGAAGAATCCTCGAGGAGATTGTCCAGCATTCACTGCCATATACAGTTCAGTACTCTTTTCTTTGTTTCTAATGAAGTTTTTCTGTCTCAATATTCTGCTTAGCTTTTGAAATGCATCTTTAGCTATCCTCAATGTGTCTTCAGATTTCAGCTTGCGTTGTCTTAATAAATTCTTGATTGTCAAAACACTTCCATTTCTACTAATTACCTTGTTCATTTAGATTTTTTTTGGAGAATGAGAGGTATAAAAACTAGTCACTCAGTGGACTGCTCTTATCCTTATACAAAAGTACCTCATGTCTTAATCTTTAGTACTCTGAATTATTAATATTATTTCCCTTTCCACTGCATTCTTTTTCAAGGCCTGTCAATTGCAGTATCCTTATTGTTAATTTCACTCAAAGTTGTCACATAGCAGGATATGACAACACAACTAAGAAATTCAAACAAACACAATTGTTCAGGGAACAGTCAATTTTGTACAGCAAATGCAGTAACATACAGAGTGATAAACATTAACCAATATATTCTGAGCTTTTATCAGAAGAAATAGTTTTTTTGTACTTATTTTAAAAAGTAATGAAGTAGAATGCTAGCTATAAGAGTCACTAAGAGAAATGTTTAATTTCTGATTTCAAGTATAAAATAACAATTAATACTAACCATTTTAGCTGGATACGTTTGAGGTATTCAGGGCCCGAGTTGCAGAAGGAACATACGAACAGGTAAAATCTATCCCCATAAAGCAATGGTTGGTCGAGGCACTGGATACAAGCTGGAGGAAAAACGGGGAGAAGAAATATTTTAATTAGGCAAAATAATCCACATATATAAAATGCAATATGTGTACACACACACTGCTAACCATTACACTATCTTGAGGTACCCCCATTTTACATATATATATATATAAAAATGTGTGTGCAGTATGTGTGTGTGTATATATATATATATATACACACACACATATATACACACACACACACACACACATATATACACATATATATATAATGACAAAATAAAGAAACAATCTTGTCTGATTCCTATCCCAAGCTGAGCTACATTTGATCTTTAACTCCAACAAAGTACTGCAATTAAGCTTTTTATTCCATTTTTCTTGTGTTCATATAAGTGTTTTCTTGACTGGATATAAAGTGTGTAAAAACTGTCCAAATTTTCTATATTTCCAAGTACTTTAGGCTATTCTATTAACCATTACCAAGGATGTTTTTTATCTTTAACTGAAAATGTACATTTTTATATATGCATATCTACAGCAATGGTAATGTTTTCTTTTTCCAAAGACAGTCAGCATATTGTGGCCATGTTCTTAGTTGATACTATTGAAGGTTGACTTTTTTTTTTTTAATTATTAATGCGTCTACTATTTTTAGCCATTTTTTTCTTCTTACATAATAGCTGTATTTTCTATGAGTATATTGTGGACAGAGATTGGTAGGTTTGCATGTGTGCTTAAATTGGTCCTAATTTAGTTATGGCCAGAGAGATATAATGTGAATCTTCTTGATGGCTATTTAGTGGCATGTCCAATTGTTCATGAATTTGATTAAGAACGTATTGATCATAGCTCAATTAAAACCCATTTAAACTAAATATCATTACAATACCTTGTCAGTTGTCTTTAATTGAACTTGTATAAGAGATGAATTGCTGTATATTATATATACACACACACACACACACACACAGGGTGTCTATAAAGTTCGTGTGCACTTTAAAAAATTTATAACTATTTGTATTTGCGATAGAAATAATCTGTAAAAAAATGTTATAAAGTTATAAACAATGACAAGTTTTAAGTATAGCTAAAATAACTGATTTCAGGCATTACTGTAAATCAGTTGGCAAATGTTTTCAGTGAACTTCAAAATCGTATTACCCTTTGTATTACTAATGATGGAGGACATGTGGAAACTTAAATAAAATTTTAATAAAACGTTAAAAATATAGATTTACTTCTTCCTAATCCTTTTTACAAATTATTTTTCAAATTAAATAAATTTTTAAAAAGTGCACACGAACTCTATGGGATTATATATATATATATATATATATATATATATATATATATATATATATATATATATATATATATATGATATTAAGGAGGATTTGAGATAATTAAGTAATTCATTGAGTCTAGAAGAAACCTCAACAGAATGCAGAAAGCACTGAATGGCAGTTTCATCCTATATTTGGGACTCATCAACAGTGCGCATCCACTACCGAGAATTGAAACCCGGACAGCTACATTGACAGGCAAACGTCATACCAACTGTCCTAACAGGCCTCGGTGACGAAGAGATAGCAAACTAGACTGGATTTTGCTCCACTCGTTCAATATTTTTTTCCTTTTTTTTTTTTTTAGAGTGATTTGTTATTTGGCGTTTTATGGTGTTGGATTAAAGAGTTCAGACTGTGAGTGTGTACACACACACCGTAATATAATGATAGCCCATTTAATTTGGTGGCGAGAATAATTAAATAAACAAATAATGAAAACACCAACTAAAAAATATAATTACTAGTTCAAATACAAATATATATATATATATATATATATATATATATATATATATATATTTATAGAGAAATATAAAATATATTAAATCATAATCACTATACTATTCTTATGAAGATTAAAATTTACAGCCCACAGACTAATCAACATTGAAACATTGATAAAAAAAACAACAAAAGAAACACACACTCATAATTATACAAAAAAAATTACAAGAATTTAATGTACTTTTAGGCCAGTAAAACTTCTGCCAAAAAGTGTTCAATAGATAACTAGAGTTATAATATTCAATAAATCAAAAAGTTCAATGAAATTTACTGACTTGAGTTTTTGCATCAAAACTGACTTGGCTACATGATGACAAGAGATATAATTAGTTATCTCCCTTCCACTGGCAGCATTCAAAGTTAGACATTACAGACAAAAAAACATACAAAAACAAAATTTGGCATATATTTTGACATTAAAAAACAGAATGATTTTTTTTTTTTTAACAATCTTTTTTTGGATGTAATCAAGAGAAACATTTATCTTACCTTCATGAAACCACATTCTACAACGACAACACTGAAGCATCTTCATATACCAACTGTAGAAATAAAGAAACAAAAACAAATTGAAAAAATTTTAAACAACCATTTTCACTTTGTATTAAGATACATTTCTAGTAGTCTATGAAACTGCTTTGTGCACTTGAAAACAAAAGATTACAAAAACTTGTTTATATCAAAATACTTCTAAAAAGCTATTCAGAAGTAAATGAGGTGTATGTGTGTGTGTGCCTTATTATTTCAAACGTTATTTTTAGTGGATATTCATGTTCAAAATATTTCAAACAATTCCATTTCTACTAATTACCTTGTTCATTTAGATTTCACAAAATACACTCATAAAAACAAAAACAAAAAAACAAAAAAAAAAAAAAAAAAAAAAAAACACATGGGACATATATCTATATAAATAAATGCAAGTGTCAGTGTGTCACACTCTTTCAACTTTACTCCTAGAGGCAATAGCCTAAGATATACCATTTTAGAATCAAGCCAACTCCATGAGCAAGTTAAAAACATTCCAGGCCAGATCCAGACCTGCAATAATGAAATTTTGGATTCCCAAGTTTTCATTACTTCAATTGATTTCAACAAAATTTTATAAGTTGGAAATAAATTTGGAAATAATCAAAATTGCAAAATCCAGTGAAAGTCACCAATAAAATGAAAATAGTTGTTTGTACAGACAGGACCTATGTACATACAATTCTAAGTGGTGACAGAAGAATTATCATTGAACTTTTAAAAGGTAACCTTAAATATTAATGCAATACTTAAATTCTGTAATCAATTTTGAGTTCTTCTGCAGTTTATTGTTGCCTATCACATCTACTCCTCCCTGCCTATTGTGATGAAGGCCAAATCAAGAGCCCTCTGCAGGAGCTAGTATAAATGCCACCCAATAGGGCAACATTTAAGCTAGTTTCAAATGTGGGTATCCACTGAAAATAACATGTGAAGTAATGAAAATGTCAGATTAAAAATAAACCCATTCTTTCAAAATTGCTTTATGTTTTCGGACATGAAATTGAACAGATATGGGCTTTTGAGAAAAATCTGAACGACAGAGTGTGAATTCCTTAAAACGGAAAATAGAACCTTGTTGAGCTATATAGCTCTCCATGGTCGAGTAGTTTAAATCACACCAGAGAAAACAGTATAAACCAAGGCTGAGGAGTTGGAGCATAAAAGCTTTGACATCAACTCCTATTTTTGTGACCTCTGACTCCTCTTTATGTAATTAAGTGATTATGGCCTACAAATCTCAAAGCTTATGCATATGCTCCTAACTTGAGTAGGCCTATATCATTATAACTGGTTTATATATATATAAAAAAAAAAAAAAAAAATAAAGATATTGTGGCTTTTATATCATACCTATTCATTCTTCAATATTTTTCTCACAGAATTAGAGGCAAAAATCTTTGAAAGGATATAAAAGAAATAACAATAAAACTGCTATAATGTAAGACTTTTTATATATATCTTTGCAAATAAGAAATAAGCACAGAACAAAAATAAAACTACTTTATAACAGAAGTTGAAATATAATCTTTTACAGGATATAAAAGAAATAACAAAAATAAAAATTTTATAATGTAAGATTTTTTTTTTTTTTTTTACATATATAATTTTGCAAATATTACAAAATAACTACAAAAAAATAAAATGACTTTTAAAAAAAAAGAAGTTGAGATGAATTTCTTGAAAGGAAATAGTAAATCTATAGTCGAAGAAATAATAATAAAAATTCTATAATGCAAGACTTTCACATAAAGTGTAAATTCAACTGGAGTTGGAGTTGATAAAACTACAGACTCCAATGACCACTTAATTGCTTCTGACTCATCTTTAAGATTTCTCAAGTGTGCAATACTGTTTAAAAATATATATTATTTACCAATCTGAATGTTTGAGAAATTTCATAGAAAATAAATGTTCTCCAAAGCAATATAACCCATGTCCTATCCTATATTTTCTATAAAATCTCTCAAACATTCAGACTGGTAAATGTAAGTAATACTGTTTATTTAAAAACAGACCAGTTGCTTAAATAAATTGTATCTATTAAAAATAACACAAACAGAAAATATATTAAAATAATTGTCAAACAATCCATTATATATATATATATATATATATATATATATATATATATATATATATATATATAGAGAGAGAGAGAGAGAGAGAGTTATATATTTTAGCTGTAATCCTTCTTTAATATATGGTTTGTTAAACAGGACTAACGCAGTACTTTTGTTTAACTTTTATTATATTTTCCTTGTATGCAAACAATTAGTGACATACCATCATCACCAAGTGGACCCTAAATTTTCACCTATCATGATAAACAGCTGTTCTCTCAGAGTGACCTCATGCCTTATGCACCTATGGGGACTCAATCCAGGCCTCAAGTGGAACTCGTAAATATGATTCATCACTAAAAATATTGGAAAAATGTTCAGTTCACTGTACCACTCAAGTAAGTAACTGACTCCTACTGCTATTTTCTACCTTCACAAAAGACAGATAAGACTGAAAACAGTATTGCTACCATATGTATTTCAAGAGCTGCCCACTATTCATTTTCCAGTCTCGATAGAGTCCAAGAGTGTTTCTGCGCCCTTGTGGGTGATGAATTATTTTCCACCCCACAACCCATTCCCACAGACAAAACACTACAAGACTTTTCTTGCTCTATCACTATTTCTACAGAAAGTGTTAAGATGAATTATATTCCTTATTCAACCAGTTTTAACCTTCACGTCTAAGATCCCCCCCCATGTCATTGCACACTGTAGTGAACCACCCTCATTTCCATTGTATCCCATTGCTAAGATGTAATTTCCACTTGATAAGCTTCTTATCACAAACAGCTACTTTGGGGAACCGACTCCTAGAGGATGCTTCCTCAATCACTACAATCTTAACTTATTCAAGTCAATGGCTAACTGTTATCTTCCCCACATATCTGCATAAAATGTACTTCTTACTTTGTAACCCTCTTCCTCGAGTGGCTCTTGGGCCTTGTACAGACGGAAAAAAATAAACGAAAGAACACTTGCTCAATACAAGAAATAGAGAGAGAGAGAGAGAGAGAGAAAAAAAAAAAACACCAACAAACTTAAGACCCTTGTCAGTCTTTTTTAACAAATATACAAATCAATATCAAAAGATACTAAAATTTATTGTATTTCAAGGTGAGCAGAATTTTTATCAAAGTGCCCAATAGACAACTACAATGATAAGAGTCAATAAATTAATGAAAGCTCGAATTACTTATTTATACAAGTACCGTTTCTTATAGAGAATATGAGATTTTTATTCTTTATGAATACTTTCAAACAAAACCAAGGAAATAGAGGTTAATGAGTGAGTGTGAGAAAATATAGGAGTTAACAAAAAAATAAAAGAACAGGAATTAAGACCAAAGGTAACAATTGACATTTCATTTAAATTTTTGGAGATCAAACTTGACTGGGAAATAAAGAAGTCAGGAGATAATTTCATAAGCAAAAAAAAAAAAAAAATACAAGAAAAGAAATTGTTAGCATAGAACTTAGTTACATCTAGTGGTCATTTCAACTGTAAAAGGATGAGACCTTGTCACCAATCTAGTACTGCACTTAAATTCAGAGTCTAGGTACCAAAGACAAAAACTCGTCAGAACATTTACCATGAAAATATTTATATAATATATATATATATATATATATATATATATATATATATATATATATATATATATATATATATAGTTAATTCAATAGATTTTCTGATTATGATGAGTGGTGACTGGTAAGTCACTTAAACCATTATTAATTTATTTGTTGTTATTATCACAACGTTTCATTGTGGCTGCCTGCCTTCCTCAGATGTATATCATTCTGGATAACCTATAGTGAATTCTGAACTGAACCATTTATTTAGTCTACAAGGGTAGACTGTTCTCGTTCCGCTTCTCATGTGTAGTTCTTATTTTTAATTAGTACAGTTCAGTTATTGCTTACTCGTTTCCACTGAGTGCAAGTACACACTGCTGGACCCAGGGATTGAACCCATAATCACTATGTCACCAACGTTTCTATCCAATAGGCCCATAGGACAATCTGCTGTTGTGAACTTGGAACCCCATACCAATTTGATAATTTCAATCTGAATTTGTGATATACCTCTGACAAGCACCAAAATGTGATAACAACAAAGATGATGACAATAGTCTGAATATAGATCCGGTAAATAATGACTCCTCCTCATCCCAGAAATTCAAACAAACTTAATTTATTGATATATATATATATATATATATATATATATATATATATATATATATATATATAAAATACATTTAGTTGAACAGCAATCCCACTTTAATTTGTTTTGTTAAATACTGACAAGGTCCCTTACTCTGTGTGTGTGTATATATATATATATATATATGTAGTGGGAGCAAAAATCATGCACCATAGGGATAATTTATTAAAAGTATAATTACACATGTAAATTTTATTTACTATTTATGTAATTGCTATATGTGCTTTTAAAATGTCTTCGTTCTTTTTCAAAATACATTTCAATTCTATGCCTGCATGATTCATCAACAAATTGGAGAGTTTCCTTTATCATTTTTACTGCATTCCTATTTAATTCCTTGGGTGTGCCTGAGAAACAACTGATTTCAAATGATACCACAGATAAAAAAAAAAAAAATCCATGGGCATAAGGTCTGATAACTTTGGTGGTCACCAACAGGATCTCATCGATCTATCCATTAACTGACCATTGTGTGACTCACTAACCCATATATATATATATATATATATATATATATATATATATATATATATATATATATATATATATATATATACTGATAATTATAATTCAGTTGGTAAAAAAAACCTTGGATAGCACAACTTGCAAGTATATCAAAACAAATTGGTATCCGAAGAAAAAAAAAAGAAGAAAAAACTAAAAATGCCCGAACAGGGAAAAAAAAAAAAGAAATCATCCTTAAGTGTCCAGTCCAAAGAAAAAATACCAAGCAAGTAACTAAGCCAAAATGCAGTGCTCAATACGCCAAGTAGAGCAAAGGTATATAAAAAAAAATCCTAAAGAGCCAGGAACTACCTACCTAGGTTTCACCTGAATGGATCTTCAGGGTAGCCAGATTACCCTGAATAGGTAGGTAGTTCCTGGCACTTTAGGAGATTTTATATATATATATATACATATATATATATATACACAAGTACATACATTTGGTATGCTAAAAGAACCTCAAATTAAGTAATTCATTTTAAAAATTGCTATTTTTGGAGATTTTCAATTTTCAGAATAGTGTGTGTGTGTGTATAGGGATCTGTTTAACTGATTACATCCACCTTAACTAAAAAAAAATTCTCATAAAGCTATTAACAGATTACATCTATCTCATGGAAAGCAGCTTTCCTACAAGGTTGAAATTAATCCGACATTTGTTAGCAAGCTATTTGAACACAAAATTGGTTCATTTCTTTTTTTTTTTTTTAAAAGCAGAAATGATCATATCTGAAGAATAAAGTTTTTCTTACTAAGAATATTATTTACAAAAAAAAAAAAAAAAAAAAAAAAAAAAAAAAAAAAAGAGAAAGAAAAAATTGCAATGGGATTTTTCATCTTGGATTTATTTAATGAATATTTAATAAATCAATGTTTTACAATAGTTTAACAATGACATTATATAAAACAAACCAAAAAAAATATAAGCAATTAATTCGACAAACTGGCTATTCAGTTAAAATGAATCAAAATTTGATGAAAAATTAAAATTTGCACCTTAGTGTTTTTATTGCCTTAGAGGATAAAAAATATGAGCAAAAAAAGTAGTGGATCACAAAAGGTATACATCAGTCTAGTTAACACTTGAGCCAAAAAAGCAGCCACATGCCTGGTTTACTAGTCTGCAAGTATCCACTCATTAGGTGACACCTTTGTTTTATCTCCCTGCAGACGAGCCAATTTGCATATCCTAAAGTCCATCAACAACGCAACTGATGAGTCAGTTTCCATGAGGGACACATAGTTGAATATAAATTTGTTTGGGTTACTTTATAGATAAAAAAAAAAAAAAAAAAAAAATCACTGTGTATAATTTGATCATTAGGCATGGATCATCTAACAATTATCTGCAGAGAAAGGTAATGTTACATGCAGAGTTCAATTCCTGCTCAAATCTATTTTGTTCATGTTGCATTAATGCCTTTGGAAATGGCATGGATCTATTCAAGTAACCAGATTTTTTTTTTTTTTTTGTCACAATATTAGCTGGATAAAAATCTCTTCATTAAAAACAAGTGGTATTCAGTTTAGAGAACAGCTATTTACAAACTTTTCCAATTGGCAAGTAAATGAACTCAAAGATGTACACACATGCATATATCAGAAATATGTAAGGAATTGTATTATTTCATCAGGAGGACAATTTTAGAAGGCAGTGTAAACCCCAAATCTGAATATTTGACCAGCTAAGAAGTGTTGAATATTTCTGTAAGAAAAACTTATTTGTTGGTTGTATTCTAAGCAAAATAAATAAGTGTGTGTGTGTGTATATATATATATATCAACCATGAGACCATTTGGACAAATCTAACCATGGTCAATTTGTCAAAAAAGTAATTTCTTGATAATATACTGGGGAGACAATCTCAGTATGCAGCACCATTGGAAAAGGGGCCTGAAAAAACATACCATGAGTTAACCCAATACTTGAGAGTAAAGTTGTATAGATAAAACAGTTTGGAATTTGTCATGAACCTTCTATGATTTTGAAAGGTCTCAATTTTCTTGCATAAAGTTTAGGTCCAATTGACAAACTCATTTCCATAAAGAACAACAGGCAATACAGAGATCTTACTCTTGATGCTATAAGATATCCGATTAAATCTAGATATTTTATTCTTCTTCAAAGACCCTAGGCAGTGGCTGTCCCATCATTTTTGCGTAACACATGCTCTAGTTAAATGAATCCCCAAAATTTGATTGTTAATGTAGAGAGGTTGGTTATAAAGCTGTATAGTGCTTGAAAGTCAAGGTAGGGGTGATGAAAGCCTTCAGTTGCCCTTTATAAAGGTTTCAACTCCACTTTTTGATGAAAATGATGACAGGTGACAAAATAAGTTACAAAGTATCAGCACAAGACATTCATAGAGTCATTTTATGTATATTTTTACTTACTCTCCAGGACCACCACAGTAGCAATAACTTTGTTCAAGATTGGTTTTGTGATGGGCATCCCAAGTTAACATATTCATCTGCGGAAAAAAAAAAAAAAAAAAAAAATTAATTTAGCAATAAAACGAGAGATATTTTTAAAATCAAATGACAATTTCAGTTTCCTTACCTTTTATTTGCCATGTCCCCCCTCAAGACACGGGTGATCACGTCTTTCTATGATTTCTTGACCCTTATTGTTTCATTATCTCTTTGTCCCCATCCATTCACTCAAACTAAGGGTGATACCTATCAATTATAGGTATAGTCTTGAGCCAAACACATTACGTTGGCTACTCTGTTTCTTCTGTCTTCCTTTCCTTCCTTCATTATGTCCTGTGAGTGTTAAAGTCTCTAAACCCACTCTCTTCATAAAGTGTCCCAGGAATTACAAGTATTTATTTTTGATTTTAAGTATGTGTCCTAGATATGTCTTCTTTCAAACTCCCTCGTGGATCAAATGTCCAGTCTACTGTATACACAACATCAAATAACATTTGAAGGAAAAGTGACCAGCACTAACTGCCATACAAAAGGATAAATATGGCATAACAGCTCAACAGTCTTTTCTTAGTTGATAACAAACTATGTTTGAATTCTGAAATGCCTCTTTCACTACCGTGATGCAACTTAAATTGTAGAAAATACTGTCCTGAATAATGTGAAACTACAAAGTTCAGTTTAATGAGGGATGGCAAAATGTCTATTTTAATTCATTTTGATAGCTTATTCTTGACAGCTGGGGTGTGAAGTCAGCATCCCCTTATTAAGATTGGTTATAATAGAACACTAAAACATTTTCATTGAGGTCACAATTTAAGAACAGTCAAATAATAAAGTAAATAGGTGCCTTCATTATATCTCTACATGTAAAGGTTCCAAACGCCTGCATTTATAAGAGAAAAAAAAAAGTAGCAGAGATAAATTTACTGTATAAACAGGACAAAATTAGAAAATCCCAATTCTTCTGTAACATTATATATATATATATATATATATATATATATATATATATATATATATATATATATATATATATATACACACACACACACATACATACACACATACACACAGAGTGACAGAGAGAGACAGACAGACACACACAGAGAGAGAGAGACAGACAGACAGAGCGAGAGACACACAGAGAGGGGTCTTGAGAGACACAGGACACAGAGAGAGAGAGACACAGGACACAGAGAGAGAGAGAGACACAGGACACAGAGAGACAGACACACACAGAGAGGGTAGAGAGACAGCGAGAGCAGCACAGAGAGAGAGAGAGAGCGAGGGGGAGAGAGACAGACAGAGAGACAGAGACAGAGAGAGAGCAAGAGAGACACAGAGAGAGAGAGGAGAGAGAGAGCGAGGGGCAGAGAGAGAGAGCTAGAGAGCAGGGGCAGAGAGAGAGAGAGAGAGAGGCAAGACAGAGAGAGAGAGAGGGCAGACACAGGAGGCAGACACAGAGAGAGATAGGGTCAGAGGGGCAGAGCAAGAGAGAGAGGGCAGAGAGCAGAGAGAGAGAGAGCGGGGGCAGGAGCAGAGCGGGGAGAGAGAGAGAGAGGGGCAGAGAGAGAGCGAGGGGGCAGGAAGAGAGAGAGAGAGAGAGCGAGGCGCAGAGAGAGAGAGAGCGAGGCAGGGGCAGAGAGAGAGAGAGAGAGAGGCACAGAGAGAGCGAGGGCAGACAGAGAGAGAGAGAGAGAGTAGTGAGGGGCAGAGAGAGAGAGAGAGAGAGGGCAGAGGGCAGAGCGAGAGAGAGAGAGAGAGAGAGAGGGCGAGGGGGCAGAGAGAGAGAGAGCGAGGGCAGAGAGAGAGAGAGAGAGGGGCAGAGAGAGGAGAGAGAGAGGGGAGAGAGAGAAAGAGTAGGGTGAGAGAGAGAGAGAGCGGGGCAGGAGGACAGAGAGGGCAAGAGGGGCAGGCAGAGAGAGAGCCAGGGGCAGAGAGAGAGAGAGGGGCAGAGAGAGAGAGAGAGGGGAGAGAGAGAGAGAGGGGGGCAGAGAGAGAGAGAGAGGGGGCAGAGAGAGAGAGAGAGAGCGAGGGCAGAGAGAGAGAGAGAGAGAGAGGGGGCAGAGAGAGAGAGAGGAGAGAGGGGCAGAGAGAGAGAGAGCAGAGGGGCAGAGAGAGAGAGAGAGAGGGGCAGAGAGAGAGAGGGGCAGAGAGAGAGAGAGAGCGAGGGGCAGAGAGAGAGCGAGGGGCAGACACAGAGAGAGAGAGAGCAAGACTATTTAAAGATATTTTGAAGTAGAAAGTTTATAATGCTTACATCATAAGGTAATGACTGCTTCATTAATTGAAGTGCCTGGGCTGCAATACAAACAAACCAACAATTATTAATGCAACCAATTACTTAAATATTTTTATTTATTTCAAGTAATAAAACTCCTGCACATTATTTGTAACAGGGTACATTATATTTGATTCATTTACTGAGTAACTCAAAAATGATAAAAGAACATTATTATTATAATATAAATAGATGGATGTGCAAGTGGTTCAATAGTAATGTGTGAGCCGAATTTGTGGCATTTATTTTCGATCAAATACTCTTGGTTAAATTATGACTTCACCTCTTCTCCCCTCCAGCTATGGGTTAAATAGCAGGACGGACTGGATCCTACAGCTTTAGTTGGCAACCAGTCTAGAAGAGGGACAGTTCTGAATTCAAAACCATATGTATAGGCCTGGTATAAAATTTGCTATACAATCATCAACAAGATCATGGCATTCACAATGGCTATAATCTTGAAGGTGATCAAGTGTGTTTATTGATTTATTTTTTTTTGTTATAAATATATATTTTATTAAAGTATGTTTAATAAGCAGTTGTGTAGTAAAGACCTTGCTCAAGGTTATCTACATTACATTAGCTTCCTTACTAAAACAAAAATTAAAAATATATATAAAAAAAAAAAAATTATAATAAAAAGGATTATTAAAGAAACCAATAAAATAATCAGGAATGAAGTAAAAAATTTATTGATTGAATTATCTTAGAAATTTAAAAAAAAAAAAAAAAAATTTTTTGTACATTTTATATATATATATATATATATCTGCTGCCCCCAGTTATTTAATTTTATGAAATTGAGAAATTCAATTATATAGCACTTAATGTTTATATTAGTTATAAACAAGTCCTTTGAGAATTTAAATCATTTTTTTTTTTTTTTGTAAAACAAGACCCCTTCCCTGAGTCACAGAAAATCTGTTCTGAATCATAAAAAAATTGCAATAAAGCTAAGACATTATTCAATTGGAAAAGCTTTTACTTTTATGAATAAGATATATTATGGACATTGCCTTAAGAATTTTGCTCCCTTCCAATGAATTTTTAGAAGAGTTGTTTTAAGTTTATAATCATTTATAAATCTTAAAATTCTGTATTAATTTGTATCAATTAGATGATATTGTTTTCTTTTTTTGACATCCATACACATAAGGAAAGAGCAGTAACTATAGTAAATTTAAAATTTATTGCTAATTTTTTTTTAGCATTTCCTCAGCAAGCATAAAGTACCTAAAATTTAATAAAAATTTAGGAAAATATTCTAAATAATCAAATATTTTAAGATTACTGGTTTGTTAAAAACTTGTATAAAAAAAGGTGTTCATGTGATATCTGTCAAGTAATTTTTACAGTTATGTTCTCCCGAAGAAAAAATTCCCAAACATAAGTTTATCAAGAAAATAGTCAACATCTCAAATTCTTACTGTGACTTTTTATCACAACCCTCAACAATTTCATTAATTTCATTCCATCATGTTTTTATCATGACATTCAGAGTTGATACATGCTTCATTATTATTTGTATTTTTACTCTATCTCCTTATCGTTGTTTTTTATCCCAACACTTGTTTTAGTAAGATATACCCTACATTTTTTTGTATTGTCGTTTTATTTATCCCAACTCTTATTGATATGGTGAAGCCAATGTGTGTTTCTCATATCGCTTCTTGACATGAACAGTCCAGAGTTATGATAAACAAAACAGTCTCCTTGGAGAACACCTTTGAGCATCCTGTGCCTCTCAGACTGGGGTTAATTCCTGAGCTTCTGTCTTTTGGTATAATTACATCCCCACTCCCAATACGTTGATGCATGATGAAATCCTCACAAAATTTAGTATAGTTGACATTATCACCAACAGATTTTGTCAAGATTTACAAACTATGTTTCATTCAATTTCACAAATCAATCGATGAAATTTGAATAAGTTGATTTGTTTGGAAAAATACTTTGACAAAAACCCTATTTTGCAGTTTAATAATTTTTTTTTAGTTTAATTTTATAGGACTTCACAGTAAACAACAATTTTTAAGAAAATTTCTTTTTTCCTTTTTAACAGCAAAGAATAAATTCTTGGGATTTCTTACCCTTGAATATGCAACATACAACTTGTCACGTGTAAATATTTCTTTCTGATGGAGCCAAATTCAAACATTTTGAAGCGTTTGGCCTTGTGATTTGTTTATAGTTCTTGCAAACACAGAGCAAATTGGAAACTGGATTGTTATATATATATATATATATATATATATATATATATATATATATATATATATATATATATATATATATATATATATATATATATATATTATATAAAAACATTGCATTTTTATTAAATAAGCATTTGTTACTTTAATCATTAAATTCTTTCTTAAAATAGTGCAAGTATTTTGTATGTTAAATAATAAAAAATAAAGTTTATTGTCCTAAGCTATGCACCCTAGTAAAACCAACTGTACTTTGAACTCCCTTACCCGTTTGTACTTTTCCCAAAAATATGGTTTTGATCAGTCAATGTATAGCTATTTTAGAGGGTGTGATGGACAAAGAAGAGTCATAGAATTTTATACAAAGATATATATGTTTATAGCATTACCTATCTTTGCTGGTATTTCACATACCTTCAGAATTTTTCATCAATGCCTCATTGTGTCCTGACTATATTTCACGAATACAGACTTTGCAGACAATTTTGCATTACTTAGAACAGGCACAATTGCTTCTCTGACCAGAGGTTGCAGTACAAGCAGTTGGATTAGATATAAATTTCAAGAAAACCCGAGTATACAATCAACCAGAGGGTGAATCAATCACATAAGATTTACTGATTTGTATGTTTAACAGCATATCAACTCCTTATAGATCAATTAATGCCAAAATTTAATTTTCTTGGACAATGTGAAGTAATAAAAATGTTATTCTGCTTTCACAATTGAATACATGGTAGATGATACTCAGCTTTTGTTCATATACATGTTTGTGTGGACATGATTACTAGAGACGGTAATATATGTTTTAAGTTATAGTTTTATTTAAGTTATATTTTGGAATATTTGATTTCTTAAAGAAATTGTAGGATATTATATGGATTAATGTCATGTAAGAGTTATTTCATGTTGGTTGTTTGGGTTGTTCAACAGAAAAACCAAAATATTCTGAACAAAATTTTATGACAAATATATTTTGAAGGGTAAATTTGTGTTTTATACATATGTAATCTGTAGATGATATATTGTAGATGTTACGTTTTGGTATATTCTTCGTGTTTTTTTTGTTTTTTTTAAAAAAAACATCAATTCCTTATTTAATGCTGAAATTTAATTTTCTAGGGAGCTCTGAAGTAATAACAATATATGTTATTCTGCTTTTACAATTGAATACATGGTAGATGATACTCAGCTTTTGTGTATATAGAGGGTGCAATGGGTAAATTATTGCCATTTTATATTTTTAATTTTGCACATGTGCATTGTTTTTGATTTTGTCTACTGCACAGTATAGTAGGGTCAGTTGGGCACCATCTGTGAGAAAAAGAGCACCATGACATAATTCACATTGACAGAAATTTGGGAACAGCATGCTGTACTGTTTCGCATTCATGCTGGAAGCTCCAATATAAACATTTTAGTGTTTGGGTGTCAATCTGAGGACAGTGCAGAGGATTCGGAAAGGGTTGGATGAATCTAATGGTGATTCTGATGGTATTTGGAGTGATCACTAGTGTTGGCGATGGGATGCCTCCATTCATCTTCCCACAGGGCCTCAGAGTCAACCTGGAGGCATACATCAAGTGCCTTGAGGAGGTAGTGCTGCTCTGGGTCAAGAGGGTGGCTGCTGGAAGACCCTATGTCTGGCAACAGGACTCTGCATCATGCCATACAAGCAGGAGAACCCAATTGTGGCTGTTAGACAATTTCTGCAACCAGATAACCCCTTACATCTGGCCACCTAACTGCCCAGACTGCAATCCCCTTGATTATTATGTGTGGGGTGTAATTGAGCAAGAGACCAACAAAACTTCTTATAACACCAGAGATGAACTGAAGACAAGGATGATGGCAGCATTCACCAACTTAAACAAAAAGATTGTCCAAAAGAATTGCAGGAGATTTTGAAGTCATCTGGAGGCTGTGGTTAAAGCCAATGTCAATTTTATTGAATAAATTTACTCTTTTGATTTAAAAGATATTTTTGTGTTATTTTGGTAAATATGTTAAAATGAGATGTCAGTATTATTTTCATTTTTGCATCATTTAGACAACAATTTATCTATCGTACCCTGTACATGTTTGTTTGGACAAAATTACTAGTAGCCATCCCAAACCAGCCTAGTTTATGTTGTGAAAATGGGTTAAAGAGTGAAATTTCCTTCAAGTTTAACTGGAAATATCGAGTATTTTTACAACTATTTTGATAAAGGGAAAACATTAAAATACTAATTTGTATCTTAGTGTTTTCCCTTTATAAAGATACAATTCTTTCTGCTGTGTGATAATTAGTTTTTAATTCAGGTCTCTTTAAATGGAGGTCATGTTTCAGTGACAGGTGCTTCTTTTTCTGCATTTTAAAAATCACAGAATTTTATGTTTATGCTTTGAAACTTGTTGCACTCAGAGTTGTTTGTTCCTGCACATATCAAAATAGTCCCATCTTAAAGAAAAGGACACAAAACAATTTGGTGAGATTAAAATAAAATGTGAGGTTATTTTTCACAAAAAAATTTCCAATTGAAAACTTCAGTGGATGAAATACCAGAGAAATTCACTTCTTAAAAAAAAAAAGCAAAAAATTGCACCTTCTTATTGAGCCAGGTTACATCTTTAATAATCAGTTGGTTTCACATCACTACATCTAACTAGCTCGAAGAGCAAGCAAATATAAAAGGAGGGGCTTTTTAAATTTGAATTCACCAGCCACCCCAATTGATATCAGATTTAAAAGCGCTGTAGCTTAAAAAAAAAAAAAAAAAAAAAAAAAAAAAATCACACTTGTTTCATCAATGGACATTTCACAGTTTCTAGGTGAGTTTAAATCTTTTCCTTATATTTATGTTTATTATTAAATTGTATAAAGTAAATTACTTATTGTGTAAGTAAAACGGCATTAAAAAATAAACTAGAAATACAGATTTTAATTAAAACTTACACTCTTATTTTTACAAAAAAAAAAAAAAAAAACTATGCAAAATAATGTAATTTTTTTTAAATGTACATATATAAATCTTGTATTTGTCAATGAGAAAAAAATGGGGAAATTTGTGCACATAAAAATGAAATAAAGTATTGTAATTTTAAAACGTGTATGTATATATAATTTGTTTTTTTTTTTTTATAAGTCTCGTATTTGCGTATGTAAAATACTGTAATTTTAAAAATGTCTATTAAAATATTATATTTACTAATTAACTAATTTTGAGGATTGGCTCCTAATTTTACAGATTAAATTGAACATTTAAGTTATTTTAATTAGACTAGATACATTTTATAAAAAATAATAAAAGGATATATTTTCCAGTTGAACTACTATTGTGAGTCCATATATAATTTCTAAAATTAGATTTTTTTTTTTTTTTTTTTAAAAATGGATATATCTTGGAAGATATTTTTTACTTTTACTATCAGAAATTTTTTTTTTTTTTTTTAAACTTTTCTACCAAATTTATTTTGAATAATTAATTTTTGGTAATTAGTAAAATATTACTTAACTTTGAAGTAGGTTTCATTTTATGGTAATTTTTTTTACATTTAAGAATATTTTAAAATTTTAATTAACAGTACATTTTAACATCTAATTCAACAATAATTCAAGAGCCGACATTGCCATTTGCAAAAAAAATGCAACTTTATTTTCAGTTCATTTGTTTTTATGTAAATTTTCAATTGTATTTTTTCTTTATGAAGAAAAATAACTTATAAAATTTAAGACATTTATCTTTTTGTAAAAAAGAGATTTATTTTCGCTATTCTTGATGTTGCAGGTCTTTTTTTTTTTTTTTAGTGCTTTCCATGCCTGGAGATTATTTCAGGTTTTTAAATTTACAATGATGAATATTTAAAGTCTGTTCAGTTTATGATCAACTAAACATCCTGAGGGATTGTTTTCTTGTAATTGAAAGAAGCAGGCCACAAAAATTTAAAAAGATCCTTGCAATGTTCAAAAAGTTTGCTAATGCAGTTAAAAACACTGTGTGATGAAAAGAGTGTGGAAATCAGTGCTTCTTAATGATATTGTAGTAACACCCAGTAATTGGAGTGCACTTCTGGTGAGGCCTATTTTATAGCCCAACTTCGGTAACTTTTATGGTTTTAAGGACCTGGGGGGGTGGGAGTACTTAAATAGGCAAAGAGCTCACAGATTTAGAGGACAATTTAACAACAAAAAAAATCTTTTCACAAAATCTTTAAGGAGCACTCTTATTTTCCCCTCACCATTTCTTTTGTGATATGAGAATTGTACATTTTTACTTGCAAATTTTTGCATGGTTCTGAAAACTGTCCTCATACAAGAATGGAACAGTGAAGACTGATGAAGCAAATTCGACAAACATTTAACACAGCCTAGAAAATTTTAGCTACTAAAGGAGATGACGACTTAAGAGCATTTTCAGATTTTTCCCAAAATGCTTTTCTTTTTTTTTTTTTTAGCTGATGAATTCACTGCCATTGAAATTATGTCACAGGAACTTGAAAACCCAGTGACTAATTCTGGTAGCTGCGATGAAGAACTATATCAATATAGGATACAAGAGACAAGGCCAATGGGTTGCCATATACTAAGATTCCAGATTCTACATCGGCCAAGTCATTAATATTACATCTCCAACCAGTGCAATAATCAACTTTCTAGCTCCAATTCAGAGTAGAAATGATTATTTCCAATGGTCTTTGGTGGGTGACATTGCACAGGTCAACTCGACTTTTGTCTTAAGATGGGGCGTATGCCAGTACAATGGCGCAAACTTAATGACTATAACCCTAAAAATGAGGATAACAATCCGAACACTGTAAATAGAGCAAATGGGGGGGTGAGAAGAAAAGAAAAAGTTGTTAAGTACTCTGGTGGGAGCTTAAACATGGAAAAATGGAAGACAGACTAAAACAGTAGCTTGAAAGACATGAAATTAAACTGACAAAATCAAAAAGGTGGTGTAAATCATTTCTTCAGAAGGTCAATTAAAGTTATGATGGCTACCCCTAAGTATGAAAAAATTATTTTGCTTGCAAAGTAACAGTTGACGAGTTTAAATCATTCCACCTATAAAGCAAGACAATAATGCCACTAGGATACAAGGGGGTTACTGGGAGAAAAAGAAAAGACTTTAGTGAGGAGAAAGGATAATAAAAGAAAAGAATTCAGGAAGATAGAAGATGGCAATTGGGGTTGCATTTAAATTTTTTCAAGATTGTACTTGACAGGGAAGCAAGAAATCAGAAAGGTGTTCCACAGGCAAGAAGTGTATGACATCTGTAGGCAAATTTCTCAATGATTATGGAACTGATGTAGTAAGAAATATCTGTCCCATAATAGCTGATACATTTAATGTTTGAAATGTGTAGGAATATGTAACAATTATTATGAGACTTTTTTTTTTTTTTTTTTTAAATCATTTCACTCGAAACAAGGTAATAATACCACTAAGATGCTAGTGGTTACAAAGAATGGAAGAGAATGAGAAGACTTTAGGGAGGAGAAAGCGCAATTAAAGAACAGGTTTCAAAAAGACAGAAGATAATGATTGACATTGCATTTAAATTTCTGATTGGTGTAGGTCGCAGGGAAACAAGAAATTGGGATAGAGTCCCGTAGGTGATAAGTACAAGAAACTACTTAATCCAATTTATGGTTACACTTAGCTTCTAGTTCAACAGTCAAAAGGTCAAGACCTAGTTGCCAAGCTAGTAACACACTTAAATTTATGCAGGAAGAGGAAAAATTCCAAAATCTCTCTCTTGAAGACTGAATTTGTTGTGTGAAGAAAGTATTAGCACAGACTGGATTGTCAAGGAGGTGCTGGCCAA